ATTTAATGAAATTCTACTGTTGCAAATTCAATTCATTTAGATGTTTTTGAGTAAGTCGTCTTTCTTTAACACGTTCATTTGTTAGTTTAGTTCGAACTGTTTTATACGACAATCCGATGCCACTTTCTTTTACAAATTTTCGGAGAGTTTTTTGATCTAAAAAAATAATTATTAAAACTAATTTCGTGTAACCATGTGTTCATAAACATAATTAACAGTATTTTGCAAATAGAAAATTAATACTTTGAATTATATCTACTCACCTGGCATAGCGTCACGCTCAATCTCTTTAGAAAACCTCTCAAGTAATAGTTTCTCAGTTCTTGAATTCCAGCAATGATAAGGTCTGCTTACTATAAAATTTATAGTTTAAGTCATAATCTACTACTCTTTTTATATATCATTGGGTCAATTTTCTTATATTATACTATTAAACTGATAAACTGACATTGAAAAGAAAGAATCGTTCAACTTTTAGCTACAGCATCCGACTTTTACTTTCAGACTTACTGACTTAATGACAACAAACTAAAATTATGTTGTAAATATCTAAAATATACCTGATTTTAATTCTTCGTCGTCTGATACAGAACTAATTTCTTTTAAAGGGTCAAAACATTCGTCAGAAGAACATTCCATGTTGGTGTCAGAAGAACATTCCATGATGATTTCCGAATCCACTGCATTTTTATTTTTATCTTCAGAACCCACTGCATATTTGCGCTTAAAATTTTTTCTTAATGGATAGGTTTTAGCTAAAAGTTAAAGTGAATATTATAAAAAAAAGTTGCAAAATCAATTTACTAAAACTGTTCTTTATCTATTTTGTTTAAACAGTTTTTCGAGACAATCCGATACCACTTTCTTTAACAAATATTTGGAAAGTTTTTTGATCTGTAAATATATTCATTTAAACTAGTTTTGTTTATGTGTTTAATAAACATAATTAACATGTGTTCAATAAACATAATTAACAGTATTTTGCAAACAGAAAATTAATATTTTAAATTACATCTATAATTTAAAATATGATATATAATATTTTGAATTATAGTGAAGATACTCACTATGCCTGGTGAGTAGATAAAGACAGTTTTAGTAAATTGATTTTAAATCAATTGAATTATAAATGATTTCTAGCTGAATTATAAATGATTTCTAACTAAATTCATTTATGTTGGTAACAATAGAAATAGCACTAAAAAAAAATTTTTTTTAAGCGAACTTACCTACAGTGACCACTTTTCTTTTCTTTTCTTCATTTTTTTTTGCTTGGTTTTTAGCAACTGTTTTTGCTAAATTCAGTTAAAAATAGAAACTCATACTTTAAACCTTTACTAAAAAAAACTTTTGAAACCAATATAAACATTCCACAATATTGAAAAATTTGAACTTTACTTACACAAATCAAAGTTTAGTAGATGTTTTCCAACTTTAATAATTTCCATTAAAGCAGGAGGAACTTGATAAGTGCCTTCATTGACAGCAGCTGAATGACCCATGTGTTTGTAAAACAACTTTTTTTGTCTTTTTTTGGCAAATCTAGAGCTGAGAAAAGAGTACTAACACGATGACGGTTCGAAGTTGCTTTTATATTTTCAGGCTTCTTTAACTTACAATTATTTATAATATTATGAACTGCATGACATCCTGAAGTGTGCCCTCCAGATAATTTTGTCCCAGCAAATAAAAAAGTGTTACTCTTTAAAACAATAACAGAACTACGTACATTAGGATCAGCCAGTTTTATTAACGCTGGCATAGTATCTGGTGGAATAAGAATTGGGACCAAATGGTTATTGCCTTTTCCACACATGTAAGTTATTTTGAGATGTTTTACTAATCTTTGATCCATTTCATCAAGTTCAGAAAGTCTTTGTTTTTTAATCCATGAATTATTAACTGCATCATTGTACTCATCAATTTGCAATCGAACTGGCTCTCCTCCTAAAAAGTAAATTAGATTAGTTTTTAGAGAACATTCAAACTAAAACTATACCTTTAATGGACAGTGACAATGGAAAGTGAGTCTAAAGCATAAAAAGTTTGAAACAATTTTCACAAAAAAGATTCAAAACCAAGCCTCTTCGCCCATTTAACAAAGTCAATCTTGCACATGCATAGTCTCGCAGCTCAACAAAACTTTATATATCGAAAAAATCATAAGACTCGTCTGTAAGGTCTTTTATTCTTTTTAAAATATGCTGTCTAAACACATATATATCTTCTTCATAAGGTAACTGTGATGGTTTTCGCAATTTTATATTTTTATTTTTGTTCAGTTCATAGGTAGCATCACCGAATATGCAGTCTTCCCACATTTCAAGAATGCTTACAAATTTATCAATTTCACTGGAAAGAATATCTTGACCTTGAGCCAGAAATAAACCTTTCAATACTTTTGCTGAGCGTTTAAGTAAATAAAATAAATTTTGCTTTAATCCTGCTTTTAAAGTAGAAGTATCGGATGTAGTATATATCTCTATTGCCTCTCTCAAGGCATAAAAATTAACACGAGGGAACATATCATGAAGACTTTTAAAAGTTATTGTTACTTGTTTTTGTTGCAGAAATATAACATACAAGTTCGCCAATCGTCTCATATCAGTACGTACTGAGTTTCTGACAGCGATAGCTTTTCCGAACTTACGCTTTTCTTTATTAAAAAACATACTCTCAATACTCAGTATCATAAGGTTTGAGCAACAAATCTGTCCTATATTATCAGTTTTAAATGTTGCCAAAATTTTTGTGCAAAAAGCTTCACTAACATTTAAATTGTCTGGAACCTGTAAGACTCTTACAGGTATAGGAATCTAAAAAGATTACCTTAATTCTTATTATTTCACAACACATCTGAATACTGCACTACAACAACACAACAAATCAAAACAAAAACATCAATTCAGGTTTTAAAATTTTATTAAACACAAACATTTTTAATGTACAACAATATTTACAGACTGATAAGATTTATTAAAAATAAAAAAGTCGAATGATAAATAAATCTTGAAATATATTTAATTTTGTTTAGCTGTTTTTATTATTAAGTTAGTTGTATCAGATTTATAAATACTAGCAGTAAGCAACCCGTAATACGGGTTAGTAGTAAATCATTACTAACAATTTGATATTTATTTACTTTCTCTAATAAAATATAAATTTATTTATACAGAAAACAACCCGTAACACGGGTTAGTAGTAAATAAATCCTTATTAACAATTTGATCTTTATTTACTTTCTCTAATGAAATATAAATTTATTTATACATTTCTTTAGTTGAGCTCATTTTTATTATTCTTGGCTTCTTAGTTTAAGAGAACTCTTAGCTTCATTAAAGATAAAGTTAACCATTTCTTTTGCAATGTTCAGACATTGAATGCGCAAATCACAACCATGTAGTAGTTAAAAATGACTTGAATTATATGCACAGAATATCGATGTCAAATTTTCAAATTCCGTAAAATTGTTTAGGTAAATATTGGGAATATACTCTACTCTTCATTTTGCTTAAAGCTGAGTCGTTTCTTTTTTTTTTAACTTTTCGTTTTACTGAGTGAAGAGCTTAAAAATATGTCACTATCGCACCTAAACTTTTTAATGTTATTAATATACTTTTTAAATATTTTTAAAACATTTAAAATATTACACCCAAACTTGTAGGCATAGAAGTTGGATATCCGGAAAAACTATAAGTTGAAAAATGTATCGCAATTCCGATAAGGGCTTAGCCCTGCAAACGGATCCTATATTATTATGATAAAGATTATTATTAAACCAACCTTTTTTTTAATTAGTAATCCAGCAGAAACTTGTTTATAAAAAAAACAAAGGAATATATGGATTTACTATAATAGCTAACGTGTATCAACATATTTATTTCAGCATACATCCACTCCATATTTATACTAATTTTATAAAATACATTTTGCCTTAACTTGGCGTTAGATTATTAGTTTTATTTCATTAATTTTTGTATAGATCAGGTTAATAATAAAAGCAATTGGATTTTACTCAATATTTTTGAAGTAATTATTCAGCTTTAATAAAATTGATAAAATCATATAAGACAGTTAAAAATATTTGTTCACTTTTTGAAAATCCGTTAAAAAGCAAGTATCAAGTTTACAATTCTTTAAAAGAAATTTATTTATATGATATATAGTTAAATATGTTAGAAAATATTTTAAAACAGAAGCATATATAAAACACATTTTTCTTAAAAAAACAAAGTTGAAGCCACCATTTACAGCACCGAGGAGCTAAGCATAGCCTATTGTAAAGAAAACCATATCAAATAATTTAAAATATTTATTACCGATAGGGACGACAATTAAACATATTTAAAAAGTTACGTGATTCCATATTAGTAGGATTGTTATAGAAAAGTATATTAGAAAAGTATATTTAAAAAAAAGTGTATTAAATAGAAAACAGATTTTAAAAAAATACCTAATTTTGTAAGCATTTTGCCAATGGTGTTCAATTTTGAAACCAATATCTTTAATGAAAAGCCGACTTGTTTCACTAAAATCATTCAAAGAATAAAATTATTAACACTTAAAGATAAAGAAAAAAAAAATGAATGAGATATAAACAATCGTACTATAGTATTATATAGATAAGTAGATATATATGAAAAAAAACAACAACTGAAATACAGTATACCTGCTTTTGGTAACCTATTGTGATACTGCAGCAGTTGCTGTAGGGATGCAGCTGTTCTTTTTGGTGTTGTTCAAAAACGTATTTTTTATGTTGGCTTTTAGTAAACTTTAGTTTAATTTAAAAGATATCACAACGGATTTAAAATACTCATAATAAAAAAACCAAAACATAAAATGCTTCAAGTAGCCAAACTATAAATATAAAAGATGAAGAATGGAATGGAAATAAATAAATTGTATTTATATAGCTAAATATATTGCCTTGGGTTTTGGTAAATTTTAAAAGCAGTGAGTTCAATAAATGAAACATACCAAATAATTGTTTTTAACAAAAGAATGCAGCATCATTATATTATGATAATTGGATAATGAATCAATTCAACTTTCGACTTTAAATTTTATGAAGGGGTATTTAAGAGGGCTTTAAATTTGAAGTCAGGTTTAATTCGTGAGAAAACAAGTAAAATTTTTATTAAAAAAGATCAAAACAAATCAAATATACAACGTAATATATATTTGAAAAAAAATTACAAAATTTAAAAAAAAAAACACTGAAACAAAAAATTAAAAAATTAAAAAGAAAAAAAAACCGAAGAAAAAACTAAAAAGTCATAAATATCTCTACTGATAGAAAACATTTACAACCTTTTGGTTGCTGTTTTTCCTTCGGTGTCTCCCAACACCCCGGTATGGATGAGCCCTCCATTTAAAGGAGGGCTCATCCATTCAGCCATTATGTTTCCATTTATTGATAGACTTCTCTGAGAGAGGTTCTGGTTGTTGGGAGCGATAATTTTGGTAATCTTCGAATGATAAGGAATCTAAAGTTACAAATAGAAGAATATAATAAAAATTATACATTTGCAATTATTTAAAAAAAAATTAGCATAACCTCACCATTTTCATTCGAAACAGAAGATGCTAAAAAAAAAAAAAAGAGAGAGTTAATTAATAAGGGTTAAACATGCAATATTTTGTATTTTATTAAATATATAGGGCAATAATGCAACCAGTTCAAAAGTTTCATATTTATTAATTAATTTTTCCACCTATTGCACATATTTCTCCATACAAAATATATAAAATATAAAACACAGCCCTACCAGCTATATTTCCAGCATTTTCAGCCTATTTCTTTCAATTTGGCGACGATTAACATTATCTCGATCGAGCCTATTTCTTTAATTTTGGTGACGATTAACATTATCTCGATCGAGTCTATTTCTTTCTCTTTGGCGATGATTAACATTATCTCGATCGAGCCTATTTCTTTTATTTTGACGACGATTAACATTATCTCGATCGAGCCTATTTCTTTCATTTTTTAAACAATTAATTTCATCTCGCCTAAGTCTATTTCTTTCATTTCGTCTACGATTATTTTCAACACGCCTTATAGCATTTACATCATCTTGTAAATACAAAACTACCTCTAGCCTATCATCCATTTCAATGTCATCATTTTCATTAAACATATTTATCAAAGCAACACTAATTATTTCTTTTTTTTTACTAATCTAAAGTTAACAATAAAATAAAAAAACTGTATAACTAAAAAAATCATACTCGAAAAATTAAAAAAAAAAATTCTCAAAACAAATATATTTAAAGAAACCAAACAAATGCAAAATAAAATTAATTTGCCATCATCAAAAGTAGTACAGGTTTTTTAAGTTTATTTGATAGAAGTTAAGAAAAACCTGCAACCACATCAGCAAAAACTTATTAAAACTTATTTTATTTCTAATAAAAAAAAAAAAAAAAATTGCGACAACGTCATAGTTCATGCGTTGGGAGGAAATATTAAACAAAACACGTAATAAAACTTATTAATGCATTAATAATGCATTATGTACGATAGAAAACAGGTTATTAACGCGGGTTTATAAATTTCTTTCTCCTAACACACTATTATATATATATATATATATATATATACATATATATATATATATATATATAATATATATATATATATATATATATATATATATATATATATATATATATATATATATATATATATATATAATAGTGTGTTAGGAGTTATATACTATATATATATATATATATATATATATATATATATATATATATATATATATATATATATATATATATATATATATATATATATATATATATAGAACTATTTATTAGTGAAAACATATGAAAACCAAAATTTTTTATATAATATATATAGTATATATTTGATAAATAAACCTCTACAATTTCTTTGGTTTAACAACTCAATAATGATTAATAACAACTCTGTAAACATGAATTTTCTAATAATTTAAATCTTAATAAATTATAAACAATAAACTACTTATTTAAACAAATAATTACTTATTAAATTTTAAAAAGATTTTATATATACGTAACGTCTACTTAGAAATACTTAATGTCTATTTAAACATTAAAAAGATCTACAATTTTGAAAACCTGAAACTTTAAATCTACCTCAAAAAAAAACAGATATATATTGAAAAGTATTTTTATTTCTTTTTAAAAATTTAAAAATGCTTTTTAACTTACTCCCTCCAATATTATTATATAATTTATAGTATATATTGACAAAAATAAACCTCTACAATTTCCTTGCTTTAACAACTTTTTTAAACTTAGTTTAAAAAAATTTTTAATAAATACATATTTAGATACCTTAAAATGAAGCATAACACAACACTCTTTTGACAAATTCCAGAAGAAATTTTCTTAATTTTTTTATTCCTTATTATTTTTCCTTAAGGAATATATATATGTAGATATAGAGAAATATAAAATAGGCTGAAATAAGTCGAAAACCTTAACTTATGTTTGAGAAAATAACTTAAACTTACTAAAAAAGCTCCTCTTAACTGCTCTAAAAAATAAAACAAATACTGCCTAAAATGTTTTAAAAAGACTAACAACAAAACTGTTTTCTTAACAAAGAAACATTGTACTAAAAAAACTATTTTACCAGTCAATTTAGTTCAAACTTATTCTAAAAAATAAATAAATAAATACATATTTAGATACCTTAAAATGAAGAATAACACAACACCCTTTTGACAAATTCCAGAAGAAATTTTTTTTATTTTTCTATTCTTAATTATTTTTGCTAAGAGAAAATACATGTAGATATACATATATATATATATATATATATATATATACATAACAAACTAACAATTATTTAAATTTTTATTTTAAAAAATAAACAACATTAATTCTTCTTGAAAATAAGTGTATCAGCTCCAATTTGCTTGCTGACTTTACTCGAATGACCGCGTGGAATATATAACTGCTCTTAGATAATTCTAGAAGCAAAGAAATAGTGTATTTTACATAATGCAGAACCGTATTTAACAAAACGAACAACAGGCGTAACAATGCGTAACTATGCGCACTATTAACAATAATAATAATATTCAATCGGCTATTCATTATAGAGATATATATATTTTTTAGATCATTTAATAAATAGATAAATTTTTAAAATTCTAAATTTCAAATTTTAACATTATATTTAACATTATATTTTAACATTATATTTTAACATTTTATCTAACATTATATTTTAACATTATATTTAACATTATATGTAAGATCACAAAACAGTTTTACCTGATTCGGTAGACCTTTATTTACCACAAAATCAACACTCTTAAAAAGAATTAAATGTATTCACAAGATATAAAAAAGCAATTATAAAAGCTAAAATTATAAAAAATAATATCCAAACAGAAAATATAACAAACATACAGTTTCACTACAAACTAAAAAAAATGTGTATAACTGACCGAATGTTTCAGATAAAGCTGGATACATTTCAAGTGAATAAAATTGGCTTAAATTAAAATGTAAACATTTGTTAAAAAAATATAAAACATTTGAATATATTTGTGATATATGAAAAATAAACTTACTCAAACGACAAGTCTAAAACTGATCTATGACCATTAAAATCTCCATCATAACTAAAAACTGATGACTATCATAAAAGAAAAAATACTTTGCAAGCAGCTGTTAAAATATTTCTTAACAAACATAATAAAATAAAAAAGACAAAAAAAAATATAAAAGTAACATATAAATACTTCTGTATCTTCTTCAGTTTCAAAGCAGTTGTCACTCGTGATATCCTATGAAATATAAATATTTTAAATACTAATATAAAAAACAAGCACTCATTTTGCAGAGTCATACAGTCAATATATAATTAGACAACCCTAGATATTAATGCTCTTTTGATAATAAAATAATATTATTAAAACCTTGCATGTTTATTTCATTTTCAATAATAAAAAAATATCTATAAAATGTAGACTTTAAAATAACTGAAAAAATCTCACTGTTACAAAATCCATTTTCTGGGTTAATGTCTCCGTCCACTAAATCACAATAAACAGTAACCAATAATTTTTTAACTGTCTTAGATTTCATAACTATTAATAAAACTTTTATAACTATTATTGAAACGCTAAAAACATACCACAGAAATAGTTGGTTGCAAAGAAGGATTATCTCCCCAACCTTGTTGAATGAAACTTATAAATTTATGAACATTTATATTTTCTTTACCATAAAGTGTTAACAGGTGATTAACATTTGGTCGTTTACCAGATACTACAGCATTCATTAAAAGAATATCTTTTAAAACAGGAATAATACCATGCCAAACTGATGAAAAATTACTAATTATCTCAAATGCAGTGATTGCAAGTGCATAGATATCGGATTTTTCATTTTGAGCTTCAACTTCACATTTAATAATTTCAGGAGATGTATAAGCTAAAGTCATGCCATTTATATTTTGTTTTATCATTGTCAAAGCTACTGTTTCTTTAATGTCTACGAGATCATCAAAATCACTAACTTTAATTATTATATCTTTTGAAGTACCAGTAACAAGTAGATTAGAATGTTTAATGTCTCTATGAATAATCCCACATTCATGTAAGTACATAATACCATTTGATGACTGATGGATAAATTTCAATCTCTGGGAAAAAGAAAAATTGTTTTCTTCATTTAAATGAGAAATTAGTTAAGACAAATTTGATGTCTGATTATTGAAAATATCTAAACAGCATAACTCAAATATAAGGGCAGTTAGTCTTATGGAAAAGCCTTTAAACTTTACAATGTTTTTGTGTTTTAACTGCCTGAGTTTAGTTGCAATAGAAACAATTTTGCGTTGCGAAAACTGTGTCTTTATTACTTTTACTGCTGTTTGCTTACTTCTTAAAGGCAACTTAAAGATATTTGCCGAAGATCCTTCTCCAATTTTATCACTAAAGTTTAATGGCAACTCAAAAACTTCATAAAGACTTCATAAAAGACTTTTTGTCATACTTTTTTCTATTATAAACAAAAAAGATACATTAAATGAAAAAGCAGAAAAAAATTCAGAAAAAACTGCAGGAAAAAGGAACTAAACACAAAAAAAAAGTCATGCTTATATAATTCATGCAAATATAGCACACATATACAACACTTGCATTTATAAAACAAGTAAGTGCTATAAAAGCGACACTTTTACTGTCATAACTTTACTCACACGGTATTACTTTTAAAGATAATTTATAATGTGCATATGTGCACAGCAAATTATATATTTAAAATATATTATTGATTCTTCATCGATAAACTTTTTTCTTAAAGACAGTAATTTTACTTAAGGCAACCATTTAGTTTTCAAAAAAAAATTAAAAATATACGATCTATGTGCTCGGATACTATAAGAAACATAAACGTCGCCTTAATGGCTATTTTTTTCATTTTCTGAGATATACCATTCTAAAACTTAGTGCCTTGTTTTCCTATTCAAAATGTAACTATAAAAACAACTATGAATACTTTAAGTACATGGTAACTAGGTTTTACATTTGCAGTTTTTTTCAAAGCATGAAAAAAACGGAAAAGTTATGTAAATACACAGCAAAATTAAAGGCGACGCAGTTTTGTTGCCTTAAAATATGCGTATCCTTTATCAAGCAATTTTTCGTACCAAGTGTAGACTTTTACCAGCACTAATATTTACATATATATATATATATATATATATATATATATATATATATATATATATATATATATATATATATATATATATATATATATATATATATATATATATATATATATATATATATATATATATATATATATATATATATATATATATATATATATATATATATATAATTTTAACAGTACTTAAGGCGATGCATTAAATCATTAAAAATCAACAAACGAACGATGTAAGTTCTTAGATTTCAATCAAATCGTATTAAATATAATGTAATAGTTTTAATGAAAATTACATAAGAAATAGTAAGTACGCGCTTATTAAATGAATTAAAAGTGTAAAGATTCTTATATATAACAATACGTTGGACCAATATTAGAATCCGACACAACGTCGGATGTCGACTTTGGACCAACGTTAGCCCAACAGATAGCTGCAACATCGCGCCGACTTCCATATCAACGTTGTGGCGACGTCTGTTGCCGACTATTGGCAATTGAATTTTTTGACGTTGATCCGACGTTGGGCTAACGTTAGTCTGCTATTTGGGATATAACATAGGTAAACTTTAAAATATTTAACTTTAAAATATGCCAAAACAAATATCAAGTTTTACAGTTTTACTTTCACTTGAAAATTCGATTGCGGCAATATCTTCTCAATTTTGATCAATAGCGTTTATTTCAGTTTTATAAAGTCTTTTTTTTAATATTTATATAGTCAGGAAAAAAAAAAAAAAAACTTATCTAGATTATTCTAGTTTATTGTTTGTTTTTTAATTACAAGTTTTTTTTGCTATATTTAATTTTTTGCTATAAAATATATTACCAGATATAAATTATTGAAAGTTTTGTGTTAAGAGACAGATTTGCAAATTCGTTTCGGGAGAATTCAATTGAACTCTCCCAAATTATTCTAATATAGACTAATTACTAAATATATATTTTTTTAATTTATTTATTAATAAATAAATAAAAAATATATATATTTATTTAAAAATATATATTTCAACATCTTGAAAGAACAAACAGAAGCGCAGCCTCGGCCACAAATGCTTGGTCGCCTCAAAAAGACATTTCGATGCCGTAGCCTCCAGCTTCAGAAATAATTTTACTAGCTATATTTACAAGCCTTGTCTCCACATCTTAAATAGGAAAGCGCTCTTCTCAAACGTGAGCAAAAACGTGCGGCAAAGACTATATTGTCGATTAAACCTTTTTATTACAAAAATTTTTTACAAATACTAGGTCTAACCACGCAGGAAGAACGCAGAATCTTCAGTGACATTATTCTGCATTACAAAATTGCTTATCAGTTAAAAGCAGTTTAATTTTACATACCACAAGTACAGCTTATAAAAATCACGATATTAAAAACCACAACTGATCAAAAGTTATTCAGAACGTCAACACTTCTTTACGAACCGAATTACTATGCACTCACAGTGCACTATTTTAATAAATACGTTTAAGATGCTGCTTCAACAGGGTTAGAGGTTTTCCTTTTCAGCATATGAAAACCTTGTATGCTTCCCTTTATCAATTCTAAACTTTATATGTGGAAGTTGTATTGCTTACTGTAGTTACAGTAATCAATACAATTGTATGTGGAAGTTGTATTGCTTACTGTATTTACAGTAATTACAGTAAGCAATACAACTTCCACATATAAAGTGTAGAATTAATAAAAGGAAGCATACAAGGCTTTCATATGCTGAAAAGGAAAACCCCTAACCCTGTTGAAGCAACATCTTAAACGTATTTATTAAAATAGTGCACTGTGGGTGTATAGTAATACGGTTCGTAAAGAAGTGTTGACGTTCTGAATAACTTTTGATCAGTTGTGGTTTTAAATATTGTGATTTTAATAAGCTGTACTTGTGTTATGTAAAATTAAACTGCTTGTAACTGATAAGTAATTTTGTATTGCAGAATAATGTCACTGAAAGTTCTGCGTTTTTCCTGCGTGGTTAGACCTAGTGTTTCTAAAAAATTTTTGTAATAAAAAGGTTTAATTGATGATATAGTCTTTGCCGCACGTTTTTGCTCACGTTTGAGAAGAGTGCTTTCCTATTTAAGATGTGGAGACTAGGGATGTACACAAAGTTCTAAATGCGGTTGAACGTATAGCTAGTAAAATTATTTCCGAAGTTAGAGGCTATGGCATCGAAATGTCTTTTTGAGGCGACCAAGCATTTGTGGCCGAGGCTGCGCTTCTGTTTGTTCTTTCAAGATGTTGAATGTTAGTTCTCCAAGGTTGCGCTTGATGCATGCTGGAGATACCGTTGAGATTAGCCATGGGACAGATGTGCGTAAATTTATTTTTGAGCCAACCGATGTGTATTACTGTGCACTTCTCGATGTTGAAGTGCATAGGTCAGTTATGTGACCAACTTACGGGGTTGTCAATGCCCGTTTGCAATGTGTCATAATCAGAGAGTAGTTGATTACTATTATAATTCCTATGGTCTTGGTCTCATCGGCATATAATTTGGTATAATTGCTAATGCCTTCAGGATAGTCATTGATAAAGAGCACAAATAGCAGTGGTCCGAGTACTGATCTATAAAGGACTTCATTTGTTACTCTTTTCCATTTGAAAGTTCGTTCCCCACCAACTGCAAATTATTTTCATTCACTTAGTCAAGCAGAGATTCAATGGAGTAGCTGGGCTCCAGTACCATAGGCAAGATTCATATGAAGAAGTATTTTGCAAGGCACTTTGTCAAAAGCTTTGGCAACTCTATAAAAATTATGTTAACTAGGTGTCTACGGTAAGCTGCCTCCGTGAGCATGTCACGGTATTCAATCAAGTATGAACGGCATCCTTTGCAATATACAAATCCATGTTAAGACTAAAATTAGATTGAACAGTGTAAAGTGTTTCATAATCATCTCTTCTATAATTCTCTCCATTACATTGAAGAGTACAGAGGTGAGATTTACCGGCCTGTAATGTTTCTTTCCTTTTGTGAAAACGAATCAATACTTGTAGGTTATATTTTTGATATAACAAAGTTATAAACATCAAGATTACCGACGTCACACTTACCTCGACATCCTACATGTTCATGTTCATTTTTTGCTGTTTAATGAGCATGGGTTACTGGCCCAGAAACGGAAAAAGTTTATTGAAGGTAACTTTGAATGTGTCGAAGTAGCCTGTGACAGCAGGTCTAGTCATAAAATGTTTGGTGAATGCTGTATACATTAGTTTGGTTTGTAAGATTGGATTTAATTTACGTGGTTATAGTTATCACTTGACTGATAAATCGTTAAAACTTATAATGCTGTGCAAGGGTGCTTGTTGGGAAGGTGAAGATGTATTTATGTTACAGTAGACTCTCGCTTAATTACGCAACTTGAAACAAGCACTGCGGTGCGCAATTAATTAGTAGTGCGCAAATAAGTAAAAGATAAGAAAAAATTTAGCAAATAAAACGTTGAGTTCAAATACATTTAAAATTTTCATCTCAATAAAATAAGGTTTACAATGAGAAAAACGATTAGTAAAGTTAACTGTTCGAATTGCTCGTTTCTGACAGCGATAAAGACGAAGTAATTTACTTTATTCAGTACTTCCCCCGGCTATATTAGCGTAGTTTATGTAGCAGTGAATAAATGAGAAATAATGTTGCCTTAAGTGTTTCTTATTGAGATAAGTTCGAGCTATGTACACACCTCCAATGCTCTTAGAGACTTTAGTGCATATGTTGATTCCAATTAATGTTCTCATCGAGATAAACACCTAAAAATTTAATAACGGAGTCTCTTTTTATTTTATTTTCATCAATAAAGATTGGAGGCAAGTTTAAGGTTGAAGTTTTTTTTTTCCTATTCTAATGAAAAAGAATCCATTTAGTTTTGTCAGTATTTCAAGTTAATTTGTTAGATTTGAACCAGTGGGATAAGAGTTTAAGTTCTTTATTCACTGTGGCAAAAAGTTCGCTAATATCGCTCTTAGAGATGAATAAATTAGTATCATCAGCAAACATGATGCTCATCAGATTAATTGTTTTATTTAAATTGTTTATATAAATTAAAAAAAGAAGAGGTCCGAGGATTGAACTTTGAGGAACTCCACAGGTTATACTTAAACAATTGTTGTGATAGTTGCCGTTACCAACAATAAATTGTTTTCTATTTGTTAAGTAACTTCTGAACCACCTTAACGCTTGGTTATTTACTCTATAGTATTTCAGTTTTTTGAGTAGGACGTGATGGTCAACCGTATCGAAGGCCTTCGATAGGTTGATAAAAATACCTAATGTATATTTTGATTATTTAAACGATTTTGAAATTTCATTTACAAGT